AGCAATTGCCAGATGTGAAATACAGCATTTAAGCATCATTGTTAAAGTTCTGTATGTCACTAGATGGGATACGATAGTAGATAAAGAGTCTGATCTGCATATCAATACTTCAGAGAAATGGACTGTTATATTAGTCACTGCTCTGAAATGGCAGAGGGTTGTCTACATGGACACAAAAGATCTGTTGTCGAACTGAGACTCCTTACTCTTTGACTGAAGTCTATGTTTAGCCTTAAAATTTCAGCTGGTAGCCAGGAAAGGGAGGGAGTTTCTGAATATTTATGGAATTAATTCACGACATTTGATTCCTTTCATCTCTGTTCTTCCAATTCAATTGCACAGTTTGCTTTATTGTTCCTAGACTCAACCCATGACAGACAGAAACCAGAGAAACCAAACGGCTGTCACAGAATTTATCCTCCTGGGATTCGGGGATCTCCCTGACCTGCAAATTCTTCTCTTCCTGATGTTCCTAGTGATCTACATGGCAACCGTGGCTGGGAACATGCTTATCACTGCACTAGTTGTGGCTGATCAGCACCTTCACACCCCCATGTACTTCTTCCTGGGGAACTTGTCCTGCTTGGAGACCTGCTACACCTCCACCATCCTACCCAGGATGCTGGTCAGTCTCCTGACTGGGGACAAAACCATCTCCTTCAGTGGCTGCTTCTCACAACTGTATTTCTTTGGTTCTCTGGCTGGTACGGAATGCTATCTCCTAGCAGCGATGTCTTATGATCGGTATTTAGCGATATGTAAACCCCTGCACTATTCAACTCTAATGAATAACAGGTTTTGCCTCCAGTTGGCTGCTGGGTCATGGTTTAATGGTTGTTTGGCTACTACAATCTTTGGCTTATTCCTATCACAGTTAACATTCTGTGGTCCGAATGAAATTGACCATTTCTATTGTGATCCCATGCCACTGATGGAACTCTCCTCCAGTGACACACACCTGAGCCTATTGGTGGATTTGATAATAGCCGGTTTATTCACCCTGCCTCCATTCCTACTAACCCTGACGTCCTACGTGTTTATCCTTGCCAGCATCATGAGAATCCCTTCCACCACCGGGAGAAAAAAGGCGTTTTCCACCTGCTCCTCACACCTCACTGTAGTGACAATTTTCTATGGAACCATAATGATTTTCTATATGCTACCGAAAGGTGATACACTCAGAGATCTGAAGAAAGTGCTCTCTCTTTCCTACACAGTCCTGACTCCCCTGGTAAACCCCCTCATCTACAGCCTGAGAAACAGAGAGGTCAAGGAAGCCTTAAGCAAAGCAGTCAGTAAATGCGGCTTTCACAAAAACTTGCAGAGTCTCTGAGATAATAAAATAGCCTGAGATTTTGCAAGCTGCCTGTGTGATTGAAGCAATGAGCCTGTGATGCACTGTACCTCAAAGTAGCCCCCTGTAACCTCCATATTCATTTTTTGTATATATATGGTTGTGATATTTCATAAAAAACATGCCTTTTAAGGTATCATATGTAAGGTCATGATCTCCTGAAACTCATTCTTCTGTCAAAATATCTATATCATTATTGTATACGTCATTATCAGATTTTGTTATATGGTTGTTAACAAAATATTTTGGGAGTTTGGGAGTCGCCCACTGTTAGTTCTCCAGTGACAACATAGGCGCTGACCCATACCCAGGCTGGTGTTAAACGAATATCACCAACCATTGACCAGCAAGGGTATTGTAAACAAGAAATTCACAATTCTGTAAGGCAGTTGCGCAAGCACCACACAATGGGAATTGCTGAACTCTGTGACTCAGCAAGGCCCACCAGGACATGTCCTGGGCCAGTATTTTTCCAGGGACATGAATTGAGAGTATAAAATAAGGAACAGCGGACTCATGAGACCACCTCTCTCCTCCCCCACCTATTCTGGAGACAACAAGAACACTGGGAAGACAAAGACTTTGAACTGGGGAGGTTGGGCTGAGAAGGGGATTCACCCTGTTTATTAAGAACTGTAATCTTCCTGCAACATCCAGTGGGGTGAGAAAAGCTGTTTGATTCAGATCTTACTGAGTCTCATAAAGTTTAGGATTTAGAATGCGTTTGTATTAATTTTCTTAGGCATAAAGGTCAGAGATAGATTTTAAGTGATTATATCTGTTAGGTAACTATCTTTCCATAGTTAATAAACTTATTTTAATGTTTAATCTTAACCAGTGAGTTTGTCTACATTGCTTGGGGAATCTGCTCAGATTATAAAGGATGGTGCATGTCCACTATCCTTTGATGAAGTGGCGAACTAATTAATGAGCTTGCATTGTTCAAGAGATGGTCTTAAGCAGTTTAAGATGATACATTCCTTGGGGTGCAAGGCTGGGGGGATTTGCTGGTGTCTCCCTCCATATAGTTCATGAGTGGCTTGGAAAGCATTCATGCAACTCAGTTGAGTGTGTCTGTAGATGCTGGTGATCGAGTGATAACATTAACTGGGGGAGGGAGGTGGATATTGCTGCTTCTCACTATTAAAGAATCATGAGAAACAGCCCAGTCTGGGGAGATAAGGGAGCACAGCAGTTCCACAGCTCCAGGTTGTACCCCGGGGGTCCTGTCACACAGCCCCATTAAAATTAAGTTGAAAACTCCCATTGAAAATATCAGCACTCAGGGTTGTCCATCTAAGTGGAAGGACCAGGGAGGGAGGTGGCCAAAACCATGCTCCCATTATGGAGCTTTCAACTGGGCACCAGGAAGAGTGGAGACAATTTTAACCATTTTTCTTAATTTCTAAAAAAGCAATTTTTTATCAAAATAAATGGTTGGACAATAAAAATACTAATTTCTGCTGTAGCCTATGTGAGGACGTAAGCCTGGGAAATCTGCTACCTCTGAAATTGCGCCTAATTCCATCCCCACCATACCCTCCCTACAAACCAACCACCTTCATTACACTCACACAGGCCAGATGTGAACAGCCAGGCCCAATCAATGACCTTTAGACACTTCACCAGGAATATTTTATAGCTCTTATCTGAGCTAAACCTGGCTGTGACCAGCTCCAGCAAAGCAACAGTTCCAGGCTCACAAGGCCCTTGGAGGCAGGGACGTTGGGCAAACAAAGAGGTAGACTCACAAGCCAGGGACACTGGGACTGTCCAGACCCAGCTGGGGGGCTGCCAGGGCACCCATAGAACTGAAGGCATTTCTGAGGATGTTGTCTGTCAAACGGTCACCGACGAAAGACTCTGCATGTGGCCCTGCAAGGCACCGGCTTCTCTGCTTCCACCAACTGCACAGAGCAGTTCAAAGGGAGGGCACCTGTTACAATGAGTGTCCCCAAAACTCACTGCAGTAAGCGCATGTCCCAAGAGGGCTAGTTCTCAGGACACGGTGTCTAGCCAACCCAAAGTGTCTTGGACAGCTCTACTGCATGCAGGGCCCCTCCTCGGGGCATGACACAACCTATGGTGAGAGGAAGTAGCTACCACCTAGCAACGAAGAGAATTCCTGTGGTGCCAAATATGGGAGTGCTGGCTCAGCCACTGTGAGCACGTCAGGACTTGGCCAGAGGCAGGCGAGCTGGGCATCAGTGAGAACTGTAGGACGTCAGCGCTGCAGAAAGGATTTTTTATGTGACCTAACAGAGTTAAGCGTCCATCTCCCATTTCAAAAGGATTTGGGTTCCTAACTCCCTTAGATGCCTCCTAGAATTTCAGCCTGGAGAACCACTGGGCTGCTGTCACTGTAGTTTCCATCTATATATTTCCATTGGAAAGAGAATCCACACCAACAGAAATGCACTGGATTAATGGCAAACCCCTGATAAATTGTTGAGACCCGCTAATGTTGTACGTGTATTTGTAGCCTCTAATGTTCCAATCATGCTATCGTGTGATTTGGTTCCCAATGGTTATAATTTTGAAGAGCAAACACCTAGCAATGGGTAAGAAATGAGGAAAGATATAGTTATGCTGTGTAGGGGCACTAGAGGGCAGAGGAATGGGAGAGGTGCAGCCCAATGGCCAATGGACAGCAGCCAAAGTGGAAGGGCAAGAAAGAAGAAATTATGTTCCCAAATGACCTGCAGATGGAAGTGGAAAGGGAGGTGAAACTGTATAATGATGCATAAGTGGTGAGGAAAGAGCATTGAAGAGAAAAGGAACTCTATACTATGTAATGAACTGTGGATAGTAGCAGGTATTATTGAGTGATTTATGGGCTGTTATACAAAATAACGTCCACCAGGTGACATGAGAGTCGAAAATGGGAAAGAGGCAGCTATAGGAAGAAGAATCCACTAGAGGACAGCTGAATAACAGGCTGTCATGCTGGGAAATCGACATTAAATGGCAGCAGAGTAGAGGAAATGAAAGTGGGGGGCAGTCAGAAATACTGATTAGTGACCACAAAAAGAACAGGAGTACTTGTGGCACCTTAGAGACTAACAAATTTATTAGAGCATAAGCTTTCGTGGACTACAGCCCACTTCTTCGGATGCATACAGAGTGGAATAAATATTGAGGAGCTATATATACACACATACAGAGAGCATAAACAGGTGGGAGTTGTCTTACCAACTCTGAGAGGCCAATTAAGTAAGAGAAAAAAACTTTTGAAGTGATAATCAAGATAGCCCAATAGAGACGGTTTGATAAGAAGTGGGAGAATACTTACAAGAGGAGATAGATTCAATGTTTGTAATGGCTCGGCCATTCCCAGTCCTTATTCAATCCTGAGTTGATTGTGTCTAGTTTGCATATCAATTCCAGCTCAGCAGTCTCTCGTTGGAGTCTGTTTTTGAAGTTTTTCTGTTGTAATATAGCCACCCGCAGGTCTGTCATTGAATGACCAGACAGGTGAAAGTGTTCTCCCACTGGTTTTTGAGTATTATGATTCCTGATGTCAGATTTGTGTCCATTAATTCTTTTGCGGAGAGACTGTCCGGTTTGGCCAATGTACATGGCAGAGGGGCATTGCTGGCACATGATGGCATATATTACATTGGTAGATGTGCAGGTGAATGAGCCCCTGATGGCTGATGTGATTAGGTCCTATGATGATGTCACTTGAATAGATATGTGGACAGAGTTGGCATCGGGGTTTGTTACAAGGATAGGTTCCTGGGTTAGTGGTTTTGTTCAGTGATGTGTGGTTGCTGGTGAGTATTTGCTTTAGGTTCGGGGGTTGTCTGTAAGCGAGGACAGGTCTGTACTCCCAAGATCTGTGAGAGTAAAGGATCATCTTTCAGGATAGGTTGTAGATCTCTACTAGCTGTCACCTTCAGCCCCCAACTAAAACCTCTCCAGCGCATCATCAGAGATCTACAACCTATCCTGAAAGATGATCCTTTACTCTCACAGATCTTGGGAGACAGACCTGTCCTCGCTTACAGACAACCCCCGAACCTAAAGCAAATACTCACCAGCAACCACACATCACTGAACAAAACCACTAACCCAGGAACCTATCCTTGTAACAAACCCCGATGCCAACTCTGTCCACATATCTATTCAAGTGACATCATCATAGGACCTAATCACAGCAGCCATAACATTAGCGGCTCCCTCACCTTCACTTCTACCAATGTGATATATGCCATCATGTGCCAGCAATGCCCCTCTGCCATGTACATTGGCCAAACCGGACAGTCTCTACGCAAAAG